CCAAGTCTTATCAAAACGACTTTATTTTTTAGTACGGACGAAGTACCATATAAGCCCTGGGTGCCTAGGCCCATGCCGCTGGCCCAATACCCTATTCTAACATGATGTATTTATTGCTAAATTAATTCTTTCCTGAATGGAGAGGGGCTGAGAAGCCAGCTGAGACCGTTTCCATTGCAAAGTGCTAGAAATGGCACAGCATGTTTGGCAGTAATGGAACCAGGATTTTTAGGCTAGTCCTAGCTAATTCTAACATATATGCAATTCAGTATAATCCATATTCAAAATATGAAGTATACTAGTATTTGCCAAGAAATTCAGTGTACGAACAGAAATTAATCAAAAGCACTATGTTTGACGACAGTGGTGATGTTTATTGGTCAGATCAAAGAGATGGCATGGTTCCACAAAAGAGTTATTAAAGTTCACCAATTCAGTAATGATAAATAATTGACCATATTTTTTTTTCCATAACATGCATTGTATGTTAGGCATGAAAGCTAAAATGGTACCTTCTTGAGAAAATTATTGCGTCGAGATATCATATACAGTGCATTTGAATTCTAACTTCCAGACGATTCTATGTTCTAACCACAGATCTCTGTCGATGGAGGTGAATGGCGGCCAACGGCAAATAAGTACTTGTATCTCAGTTCAATAATCAGTGCTCACCACCGGATAAGACAGAGACGAGGGAGGCGTGGTAAAGGGGCCTCCGGAAACGAACAAACCGATCGATGCGCAGCGGCCGGAGATGGAGAATACGGAGAATCGACACGGCCGAAACCCTAGCACGGCTGGAGTGTCGGAGCGTGGAAGGCGCCGACCCCGGCAAAGAGGACCCTCGACGTGGCTCTGGACGCCAGCGCGGACGGCGGAGTGCGGGGCTGCGGCGTGTAGTGTGGAGGCGGGGAGCAGAGCAAGCGAGAGCGAGACGTACGGCAACGGGAAGTCGTGGCGTCTGGCGTGTGGCGACTGACTGAGCGAGGAGAGCGCTGGATTTACTTGGACCTCTTCTTCGTTTATTGGGCTTGAGGCTTTGGGCCATATACAGTGGACCTGCGTGCCTGGTGGTTGTGGCCTACACCATGCCATACCCTCGGCTGCCGCTTCGGCGTCTCCTTCACGTCTCCGTCCGTGTCTCCGCACTCCTGGAGACCACGTGCGTCTTAGGTTTTTTCACAAACAGCCTCACACGGTGATTACAAAAAAAAAAAAAAGTGCGGGGTAGCTGGGTGGAATAAACCAATGCCACGAGGGATACAGCCGACGGATAGATAGATAAATGTGTGGTTGTAAAACACTGAGGGCCCACAGTCCAACTAGGTCATAGAGTGTGGAGACACTGCTGGAGACATATGAAGAAGTCAATGAACCTGCAGCCCATACCCTCGTATCCAGTGGACCTGGCCCTAGGACAGGCGGTAGAGGCTCGCGAGGGAGCGCGCTAGTGTGGCCAAGCTCCAGTCGAGGCTAGGCGAGGGCGGGGTGGAGCAACGACAGTGGGCGGTGGGCAGTGCGGCCCGCGGCGAGAGAGCGGGCCAGTGTGGTTGAACTCCGGTCAAAGTTAGGAGAGGGGGCGGAGGAGTGGGGGTGGGCGGCAAGCAGTGCGCGGCGCGAGCGGCAACGAGTGAGCCACTGGCTAGGATAGCGGGCCGGGATGGAAGGCGGGGTGGGGTAGGTAAGGCGCAAGGAAGGAGGAAACGAGGGTCGTGCAATCCCGAAACGTGCGACCGGTCACGCGTGCAGTGTCTACCTCCTATTACTAGTACTCCATCCGAGCCGAATATGTGCAATTTTTAGGATAATACATGGGTACATGATTAATATTCATTCCGAGTGAAATGTGTCTTCGACCACTCGAAGTCAAATAGTTTTTTACAAACAAAATCTTTTTGTTTCAGTATACGGCATAACATGACTAGCGTCTGGGCGTTCGGACAGACTTCCGCGTCTAGATGCGCGTGGCTGCTCTATTTCCCGCATATAGTGAGCGGACAGCACGGACCTCAGCTATCTACGGGGCAACCATGCGAGCATCGCACCCACCATCGGCCCACTTGGGGCCACCACCTCCGCACGGTCGTTAGGCCACCACATCCACAGGCATCGCGCCCGCTCGCCGAGCTCGAACTGCCACGCTGAGATGGAGGAAGGGAAGGGAGGGGAGGGAGAGGAGAGGGCAGAGGCATGCCGCATGAGGAAAGAGGCGAAGCTCTACAGCAGGCCGTTGTCCGCTAGTCACCGGCATCATTGTAACATGCAAACATGTGCAACACCCGATCTAATTTTGAAACATATAGATGCAACTTACATCAGAAGGCAGTGAAACATTTGAAACATGCGTCTAAAACCCTGAAAAAAAAACTTTAAACACTTGAAAAGCCATTACAAAAACATGTGCAGCATCCAAATAAAACACCTACGACATATGTGTGAAACATTTGCAACATCCAGACAAAAACACTCGCAACATGTGTCCGAAAAAACAAAGGAAAATTTTGGGACAAACGTTTGCAACATAAGTGTATAGCCATTGCAACATAAGTGTATAGCCATTACAACATATGCAACATCTCGATCTACTTTTGGAATGTCCATATGAAACACTTGCAGCATGCCTCTGAACACTCGAAACATACACTTGCAACATGCACTTTCAGCAAACCCTGGTAGGTGGGAGGCGGATAGAGCTCTACACAGTGGGATCCGCCGCTAGGTCGCGATGGAGGAGGATGGAGCCACGACACAACGGAGTAGTGGGGCCTAGATCAGAGATGGCGACGGAGAGCACTCAGGCTTGCGCGCACGGGTGCGGGAAGGAGGCATGGTGAGAGGAGGGCGCGCGGGAGGCAGAGAGTGCGGCGTCGGGGAGCGGTGTGGAGATGGAACGCAAAGGCCACCTGAGCAACAACTCGGCGATCAGTGCATGCATCACGGCTGCAGTGAGGACTGTGCAACGAGCTATTGGGCGAGGAGGAAGAGAAATACGTTCGTTCTGTTTTCGCTAGGCCTTGAGGGGAAGGAAGCCAGGCTAGTCCGTAGGTCTAGGAAGGCACGACCGGACGAACGGACGCACTCACCACATCGTTATCGTTCCATAAATACTCCTTTCTTCTATCTATCTATCTACAACTAAAAAGCAGCGATAGTTTTAGTGCACCCGGGTAATCACCGCATGCCTTGCGATCCGTGACCCTCCCGGCAAATCACCGCATGCCCTGCAATCCACTCCAATTGTTTCCTAAAAAAACCGACGCCCACAACGTGCCTAGCAAAACGGAAACAACACCGTGCAGCCCCTTCTTTCCAAAAAAAACCGCCGCTCATAACGTTTCTGAGAAAAAACACGTCTTGCAAAAAAAAGGGGAAACAAACAATCAGGGAATACTCGCCAACCAACCACGTGCCTGCGAACGGCCATCCAAAAAAACAGCATCATGAAAAAAAAAGAAACAATCAATCAGGAAACACACCCCGCAACCGGTGCCAAGAACGTTTCCGAGAAAAAGGAAACAAACAATCAGCGCGCCGGTCTCACGCGATCGCATTAGCGCCTCCCGCAACGCCAGCTAAAATAAAACTGTCGTCGCCCTAACCACTCGCCGTCGACATCGACAGCAATCTTCTCCAAGCCGCCGCCGTCGCACCGCGACATCACCCGCGATTTGCTACCCCAATCCTCCAACGCCCTGTCGCCACTTGACATCAACAGATCGCCCCATGGCCACTTGACGTCTGCAGCGATCTGCTACTCCAAGCCGCTGACGCCTGTCCGTCGCCGCGGCCACCTGACATCGACGGTAATCTGCTTCTCCTTCCCTCACCACCTCCCTCGCAATCTGCTTCACGGTCACACGACGCCTGTCTGGTGCCATCACGATGGCCACCCGACATCGACGGCAATCTGCCTCTCTTGCACTCGCCGTGTCCCTCACGATATGCTCCTTGGTCACACTTTACACAGGGCACGACAAGTCACGGGTAAGTGATCCACAAAAAATTGCCCTAATCCTATTTATTATAGTATGTAGTGATTACAGTTCTAGATTTTGCCCTAATTCTGAACTGGTTTTACCTTTATATATGAACTGCAATTTTTGCCCTAAAAATATAATGTTGCTGGGTTTTGTTTAAGAAAAAAATACATTTCGTTCCGTAATTCCCTTAAACCTTAATGACATATCTTCTAGATTGACCGGAAAAAGATGATGTAAATGGCCTTCCTGTTGAATCTCTAAGGTTTGAGGTGGCCCCACTAATGTTTGACTGCAAAAGTGATGAAAATGAGTTCACCCGTCAGAATATATAACTGACACTTTAATATGCATTTGTACTTACAAGGATGCAAGAGGTAGAATAGCTTGAACAACAATGCTATTACATTAAACAATCGAGCATCAACTATCAAATAAATCTACAACTAAAAAGCAGCGATAGTTTTCGTGCACCCAGGTAATCACCACGTGCCCTGCGATCCGTGACCCTCCCGGCAAATCACCGCATGCCCTGCAACCCACTCCGGTTGTTTCCTAAAAAAAACCGGCGACCACAACGTGCCTAGCAAAACAGAAACAACACCGCGCAGCCTCTTCTTTCCAAAAAAAAAAAAAAACTGCCACTCAGAACGTTTCAGAGAAAACCCACGTCTTGCAAAATAAAAGGAAACAAAAAGTCAGGGAATACTCGCCAACCAACCACATGCCTGCGAACGGCCATCCAAAAAATAGTGCCCTAAAAAAAAGAAACAATCAATCAGGAAACACACCCCGCAACCGGCGCCAAGAACGTTTCCGAGAAAAAGGAAACAAACAATCAGCGCGCCGGTCTCACGCGATCGCATTAGCGCCTCCCGCAACCCCAACTAAAATAAAACTGCCGTCGCCCCGACCACTCGCCGTCGACATCGACAGCAATCTCCTCCAAGCCGCCGCCGTCGCACCGCGACGTCACCCGCGATCTGCTACCCCAATCCTCCGATGCCCTGTGGCCACTTGACATCAACAGATCGCCCCATGGCCACTTGACGTCTGCAGCGATCTGCTACTCCAAGCCGTCGACGCCTGTCCGTCGCCGCGGCCACCTGACATCAACGGTAATCTGCTTCTCCTTCCCTCGCCGCCTCCCTCGCGATCTGCTTCCTGGTCACACGACGCCTGTCTGGTGCCGTCGCGGTGGCCACCCGACATCGACGGCAATCTGCCTCTCCTCGCCGTCTCCCTCACGATCTGCTCCTTGGTCACACTGTACACAGGGCACGACAAGTCACGGGTAAGTGATGCATAAAAAATTGCCCTAATCCTGTTTATTATAGTCTGTAGTGATTACAGTTCTAATGCACGATTTTGCCCTAATTCTGAACTGGTTTTACCTTTATATATGAACTGCAATTTTTGCCCTAAAAATATGATGTTGCTGGGTTTTGTTTAAGAAAAAAAAACATTTCGTTCCGTAATTCCCTTAAACCTTAATGACATAACTTCCAGATTGACCAGAAAAGGATGATGTAAATGGCCTTCCTGTTGAATCTCTAAGGTTTGAGGTGGCCCCACTAATGTTTGACTGCAAAAGTGATGAAAATGAGTTCACCCGTCAGAATATATAACTGACACTTTAATATGCATTTGTACTTACAAGGATGCAAGAGGTAGAATAGCTTGAACAACAATGCTATTACATTAAACAATCGAGCATCAACTATCAAATAAATAAGAGAAAACAAGGCATGTTTGCTTTCTGTTCAGCAACATTTTTATGTATTTTTAATGTGACAGAGAACTAAACAGATAACAAACAAAAAAAATTACCATGTCTAGAAAAGGAGAGGCTATAGGAGCCACTCATAAGTGATGACATACAACTGATCTAAGAAACTAGACTCTGATTGTTTAATGAATAGAAAAAAGACGAAATGCATAACCATATTAATTTAGTAAGGGTGATGACGTAACAATTAAAGCTGCTGCAAAAGTACATGTTAGTGGTGCGATGAAGAAACTATCAGAGAAAAACATCTGACAAAGGAGCCACCAACAGAGGAACAAGATGTACCTGTTACTTCCAGTGAGGAGTGGTTGCTGGAACGCCATAAGGAAATCCATGTATAGGATTAGTAGGGTGAAACCGAAGGTAGCAGTTTTCAATATTGATGTCTCAAGTATAGATGCAAACCTATGGAAAAATGGAAAATCAATGCCAGGATTAGCATATGGTACATATAATGCTCATTTCATAGTATCTTTCAGGTTCAGTTCACAGTACATATAATGCTCATTTCATAGTATCTTTCTCCATACATGGGTCCTGTTGGAATTAGTTAAATAGACTGTATTCCCGTACATATAAATATTCCTCAGCCACTCTAAATTCCTTTATGAAACATCTAAGAAATTCTGCCTATTAACTGGGAATAAAAAAATTCTGCATTCAGCAACAAAGACTTGTGTTGAAGAATGAAATTCTGGAACAATGTGAGCATATGAGATAGATTGATAGTATTCCCAGCTAAATTCTCACAGATAGAAAACACCCACAAGCTCATCATATAGCTCACCTGGGTGACTTCTAAATCCTAGAAGTGCAGTAAGAAAGATCTTTTTTTCCAAAATTAGAAGTGCAGTAAGTAAAATTAGAAGGTTGGACACTCTAAATATACAAGGACTAGCAGTAACAAGAGGCCATTATAAATGAATTACCAACAAGCACTGGCAGCACGATAAATAGATAAAACAAGCACTGGTAGCACGAGAAATAGATAAAACAACGAATTGGGAACAAGCAGAATCGGGATTGCAGGGTACTAACTATCATAATAACTAGAAATAGCAGCTACTGACTGTGGATGAATTAAATAAAACTTCCGGAGTCCAGACTGGCATCATTAACCAACACAAATACTAGCAGTGAACAAATTAAACTACATAATGGCAGTGCATTCCGACTAGGGAGGAAGGAGAAACCATACCTCGAAGTGAGGGTGCCGGGTGTGGCGACGTGGGGAACGATATGGCGCCATGGCGGCTGCAGCACCTTGGGGCTCCGCCTCTGCCGAGGTACGCAGATGCGGGAGGGGATGAGGTCGGGGTGGATTCTCCTTCTTTCTGGCGGTGGCTTGCTCTGCCTGGTTCCACGCCGGCGGCCTCCTGCCCTCCAGGCCTTCTACCCAAGACCCCGTCCGCGCATCATGGCCCGCGGCAACGGATTTTGCAGCTGAGAAAACTGTGTTAATCATGATTTACTTTGGAAAGAAGATGGGTTTTGTTTCAGAAAAAAATCATATTAGTTTTGTAATTCCCTTAAACCTTAATGACATGTTCCAAAACCTAAGTACCCTACTCCTGTTGAAGTGTTGGGATGATGACCAAAACAACAATTAAAGCAAATGAAATGAACAGTGTGCTAACCTTAAATTCCAAACTGCAAAAAACAGCACAGCAGGCTATTGAATGTTCTTAATCATTTGTGCGGTCACATATACAAATCTGTTTTTTTTTACCTATTTGGCAGTGGGAGGTAACAGAAATAAGTTTCTTTGTAGTCAACAATACATATTGAAATCCAACTGAAGAAGCTTCATTCTGACACTTAAGGATAAAACTGAAGATATGTATAGGCCCGACACCGAGCTCTCGAATCTCTCCAGGCAAGAATTAGCTAAAGATTAAAAAATCAACTGCACACGTACCAAACAAGCTGACAAGCATACGGAAACACTTACCATGGATTTTGGGTGAAATTTGGTCTGGGCTAACATCTTGCGCCTTCTTGTAGCAGCACAAGTTGAAGTAATGACATAGACGACGCCGGGAGCGTAGGCGAGGCAGTCGATGCCATCTACCGCCTGCGACCGTGGCCTGTTAGCGCCTACGCCGTCGCGGCCCGCTGCTGGTGTGCCCTACGGCCCCACGCGCCGCCGCAGCCTCCTCGCGCTCCGCGGCCACTGCAGCCTGCTGCCCCACACGCGCCGATGCCTGCTCGTGCCTCGGCCGCCGCCCGCGCGCGCCCGCCCCTGGCCGCCGACCCGCGGCCCGAGCGCGCAGCTGCTCCCCGCGCGACCAGCCTCCAGCTTCCCCAGCGCGCCCGGCCCGCGCATCGGCTGCCAACCGCGTCGCCGCCCTTGAGCTAGGGTTTCGCGATTTGGGAACGGTGGAGCACGGAATGCCTGAACACTGAGTGTGGAGCGGAAGAGATAGATTAAGTATAATTTGGTTATTTCACGTGACTCGGATTTTGTTTTTTATTTTTTTTCATCGTTTTATAACCTTCACACTTGATTCGTCTTAGGTATATGGACCCGTTAAAAATCAGAGTTGTCGCACGTTATTTAAAGACTTTTGTTTTAAAATAATATTTTATGTAGACTCCACATTCTCTTAAAGACTTGACAAACCAGATAACGAAGGTAAATACTAATCCTTGTATATATATCAATCCTTTGTAATGTAAGTAAATGATATTAGTTACTATGCCTTCTTGACTTTTCGTATTATACACATTAGATGGTCAAAGTGAATCCAATTCTCTTACTCGTTGATCCAAAAGAACGTAAAAAAAGACAAAGAGAAAGAGCACGGCGTGCAACCCATGACTGAACAGCAACGGAATGAAATAAATATCAAAAAGGTGAAATAAATAGCAAAGGGCGCGTTCGCTAGTCTGGATGTTCCAGACTAGCCGGCTAATCCCCCTCACAAAATATTGTTCATCAACCAACCGCTACAGTGTTTCTCTCTCAAAAACCAGCCAGTTTCAGCCAAGTTTCAGACCAGCGAACAGGCCCAAAAAGCGACATGCTGCAATGACCGAAGAACCATGAAGTGAAATTAATAGAAAGCGACGCGAAACAAATCATAGTAAAAAGGCCGAATCGTTGCTCTCTAAAGTATCTAAAGGTACTGCATACACTATGAAATTGTTCAAATACAATTCCCTTTCTTTGTACAACCCAAATGTATAATATGTTGCGCTTCTTTTTTGCTGACGGCGAGATTGCATCCAACAATGAAACCACAAGTGACGTCCAAAATGATGATTGGTTACACAGGAATGATTCGTACGAGCCTATGCAAATTGATAAAGAGAATATAAGTACTATACTTGTCGGTGCAGAAAGTGACCAACACGTAAATATTTGTAGTTTTGTTGTACGTTGTGATCGGATATGGCCTAGCACTCAATGACACAGGGTTTATACTGGTTCAGGCAACGTGCCCTACGTCTAGTTTAAGTCGGTCGGTGACTTTATTCCTGAGCCCATGTGCTCGAAGTTTGCAGTGGGGTTACAAACGGAAGGGAGAAAGATAGGGTACAAGAGGTCCAATCGGACTCAGGTCTGAAGAACCGAGAGTGACGGGAGCTCCGCTATGAGCTAACTATTCGAGCGTGCGCTATGTGTAGCTTTAGAGTTTCTAAAGCTACAGAGGATGAATCGATGTAAGTGAACTAAGGCCCCTTTTGCTCGGGAGAGAGCGCATCCCCTTTTATAGATGAAGGGGATGGCTTTATAAGAGAGAGAGAGAGTGCACGTATCCTCAATCTTGCTGCCCACGTCGTCGGGTACAAGATGATTGTAGGCGCCCACAACACTGTTATTGTCAGATGTATGTGGGAGGTCGCATCGTCTTCTTCTGCTATGGTAGACTTTGGTGCCCGCCATACTATTGATGCCCAGAGGCATGTATGGGGTTTTACCGTGCTCATCCGGTATGGCAGTTGTTGTCGGCGCCCACAACATTGTAGGTCAAATGTCGACGCCTACAACACTGTTCTGACATGCCGGGAAGCTTGCATGGCAATCCTCTGACATGTCCTATCGGTACTGTCCTGTAGGTGTACAGGGTATGGTCCTCGGTATTGCTGTTGACTTTGAGCGTCCTGCTTTACTTGCTCCGCCCATTTTCTGGTCCCTATCGAGCGGGCGTCCCCGGTCGGTTGGTCCTAGTTGGCTCTGATTGCGCTAGTCAGAGAGGAGTTGTATGCAGGGTTGCGCATTCCCGGTCGGAGAAGTGGGTCGGAGTCGAACGTGGTGTTTGGCTAGACCTTCTGTTCGGAGATGCCATCCGGAGGCGGGCCGGAGTCGGAAGCGAGGCCTTCTGGTCGGAAAGGCGGGCCGAAGTCGAAAGCGAGGCCTTCCGGTCGAAGAGGCGGGCCGGAGTCAGAAGCAAGGCCTTCCGATCGGAGATCGAATCGTACTTTTGTCCTGTTTTGTTAGGTTTTTTAGGCCGGCCCATGAGTTGCGCATTGCTTGCAATGTCGTCTGCTGGGCCGAGCTTTTGCTGGGAAGCCGGTCCATGAGGGACCCCGGGTTTATGAACCCGACAGGAGCCCCCGAGCCTCCAGATGATTCGGATAGAATTGTCTGGGGGTTTTTTGTCTTGATGGCGGGTGCGCGCGAGCGCACCCGTGGGTGTAGCCCCTGAGCCCCCGGGTGATTCGGGTAGAATCGCCTGGGGGGTTTTTGTTAGCGGGCATGTGTGCGTGCATTTTAGTCGAGAAAGAGTTGCCAACCAAGGCGTCGTGCGTAGCCAAGGCGGTTAGTTTAGGGATCGGACGAGACAGAGCTCGCGGATCCTGGCGTCAGTGTGCGCCGTGGGATCGAGCGAGACGGAGTCGTGGATCCTGGCATCGGTGCAGCCCGTGTAGCCGAGGCAATTCAGTTTTAGATCGAGCAAGGCGGACTCGTGGATCCTGGCGTCGGTGCAGCCCGCGTAGCCGAGGCATATTAGTTTTAGATCGAGCGAGGCGGACTCGCAGATCCTGGCGTCGGTGCAGCCCACGCAGCCGAGGTAGTTTGTTAGTTTAGGGATCGGACGAGACAGAGCTCGTGGGTCCTGGCTTCGGTGCAGCTCGCGCAGCTGAGGTAGTTAGTTTAGGGATCGGACGAGGCGGAGCTCGTGGATCCTGGTGTCGGTGCGCGCCATGGGATCGGGCAAGACGGAGATGTGGATCCTGGCGTCGGTGCAGCTCACGTAGCCAAGGCAGTTAGTTTAGGGATCGGACGAGACGGAGCTCGCGGATCCTAGCGTCGGTGCACACCATGGGATTGGGCGAGATGGAGTCATGGATCCTTGCGTCGGTGCATCTCGCGTAGCCGAGGCAGTTAGTTTGGGTGTCTTGAGCCCCTGAGCCCCATTGGGCTTGGTAGGGGTCGGTTTGAGTTTTGTGCGTTACCCTGTCCTCGGTTTCTCACAACCGGAGGGGCTGAGCTTTGTCGCTTGCCTCGATCGCTCGGGCTCGAGTAACGTGCTTGGTGAGCTCGCTAACGGGTATGATCGAGTGGAATCTGGGTTCGTCGTTTGTGACGGGGTCGGCATAGCCCTCTTGTGACCTTCCACTACTTCTTAACCTACAACCCGACAGATGCCTAGGTTGTTCCGAAGACCGACCCAGGTGGCCTGTTGGCCTCCCCTCTATGGAGATTCTGTGGGTTTGGCGAGAGGTTTAGAATCGAACGAGAAGGTTGAGATGACCCTGTCTGCTTCGAGGCAGACTGGGCGAGGGCCGCACGGGGCTCATCTGTGTTTTCTCCCCTGGCTCTGTTTAATGTGAGGTGGCCTCGAGCCCTTCGTGGGCTGGCCTTCGAACCTAGGTCGGTCGTTGCTCATGTTGAATGAGGTAACTGCCGCTTCGTGACACAACACGGAGCATTGTGATGCATTTAGCCGCATGTGCGATGCTCTAGTTCCTAAGCCCCCGGGCAATTCGGGCCCAAATCATCCGGGGGGCGCGGGCATATGGGATGAATGCGTGTATGGATGTATGAATGATTATAAAGAAAGAGCGGGGGTCGGTAGTGTTACCATGATGACTCGAGTGACGGGGTTTGAAGAGCTTCAATCGGAAATGTCCGACCGGGACTGACGCTCGTCGTTCGTGACAGAGTCGGCATGGCCTACATGGGGCGTCCCTTTGCTCCTTACCTGTCTCTCGGTGTTTTCCTGAGCCGTTCGATTGACTCAGGAAGCCCGATGGTCTTTCCTAGCGGAGATCCCATTTTTGAGTTTTTCCAAGTCCCAC